GATGTCTGCTCACGAAGGCACAACTGGTTTTGTGCAATCTCTTAGGGGAACGCCTGTGTCCAGTGCCACAATGTCATTTGCAAAGCAGGGGGGGACTTTTTGTTCAAGCGCACCCACTGCACTCTGGGAAACCCGGCATGAAAATTACGAAGAAGCCGTTGAAGTCCACAAAGATTGAGAGTAGGACGGAGTTCCGTTGGGCAGTCCGCCAAAAAAACTGAAACAGTTTATGCATTGAGCAGAATATATGTGGCCTCATCTGAACAAAACATAAACTGCAACAGCAACAACAAAAAACAGAACGAACTTCCTAACGAACAGAAACCATCCTGAAAGAAAACGAAACAACCTAAACAATCAGCCTCCTCGTTGAATATCACCGAACAGAGTGATTTTTGGCACCAAATTTTCCCCAGAAACCCCCAGAGAATAACGACAAAGGCTCAACAAAAATTTTCAAGAGCCAAAAAAAAATTCAACGAGGTGATTGATGAACGAGAACTCCCCAGAACCCCCATTTTACCGTTTTTTTAGGGGGGGGGGCCCCCCCCTACATATGAAGTTTTCACGTGATGCGGCGATCCCGAGGATTCCAGCCCCTCACTTGCTAAAGCAAGGACAACTCCAGCTAGCTGGTGCTAGCTTTCGTGACCTATGCCTAGTCTCCTGTTGCTCACATGCCATGCCATACCTAAATGGCAATCATTTCGGCCCTTTAGGGGCCCCGACAAGGCACCAAGCAGTTGGGAGGTCCAAGCCATGCAAAGGCCCACCTACCAAACCAATTGGTAGCCAGCTTGCAGGCTCAACGACACAACATGGTTCAACCTGAATCGAAGTCTTCCGAATGTGCCACATGAAGAATTGTGAACAATCTGTGGGCGAAAGAGGTAGATCCCCGCACCGAAGCACAGATGTCTGCAAATCCGCACCGAAGCACAGGGCCTCAAAGCCAGGCGAAATCGCTCGAAGCACAGGGCTCGACCATTGGCCTGAAGGAAGCACATGGGGTCTACAAGCGAGGGTGTCAGGGAAAACGGCATCTCACACATCCCTGGCACTGTCAAAACTTCAATTCAGAGTCTCATAAGTGATGCTCTTGGGAGATTTGTCTCATGAGCTAGGCTGGGCAGCTAAGGTCCTAAGCAACTGGTCGACATGTGTCCTAGGCCAGTTCCTATTCGCATGTTCCTTTGAAGCCTTGGCGTCGCGCCCCATGAGCTTCGCTACCAAGGCGCGTTGATCCAAGGCGTTTTGCAGGTGTCCACCGGGGCACCATTGCGTCACCAAGTAGACGGAACCGTCGCTGTAGAACAGGTCCAACCTCGGGTGGATTCCCTGGGTGGATTCCCCTCGAACCATGCCCAGGTTGGAATCCAAAGAAGATGTTGCTCAGAATTCCTGAGCTGCTGTGTGTTTATACTGCTTACAAATGCTTACAGTAGTTATTTCCTGACTGTTCTTCTGAGCTTTGCTGATGTTCTTTCTTCTTTCCTGACTTGAAACATCCTATTGGAGCGAAATGACTCCTGCCAACAAGAATTGGTTGAGAAATGAGATTTGGGTTTGAGATGACGGATGGAAACCTAATCAATATGGTGATGATTCAAAGAACTCCCTTTTGCGCAGTGTGTGAGTCTGAACGTCTCCCGGCGAGACACACTGCCAGCAAGTTGGGGTGCACCCCCGCCTCCTGCGTCGGAGAAATTGGCATCATGTCTGAAAAGGTTTCACACGGAACCGAGAGCCATTCAGCCAGTTTCCAAAGAAACAGAGCAGCCGCTTTATATTGGTCAGCAAGCTCGGACAGAGTGAAGTGAGTGAAGCTTACTTTCCAAAGACTGCGATGTCTTGATTCCGCATATCATTTTAATTCATGTTACATATGTATACAGATTTAGAAAAATCTATTTTAAAGAACATACACAATGTATCCCAACTAATCCTTAACGAAGGATTGCAATATTTGTTTCCTCGAGGAGTCTTCCAAATGAGCGAGGAAAAATGCCACACTCTGCACTTCATGTCACTTTCGACCGCTCCCCAGCTGCTCTAGCTTCAACGTAGTAATGTAATGCCCTTGTTACTAGTAGCTTCTTGTTGCTAGTAGCGATGGCCTCCAGCCTACTTGCAATGGCCTCCACCTAATGATTCAGAGATCCCGGGACTCGGGATTTCTTCAAACATTTCTCCTGCAGCGCCCGCAAGACCAAGACGTCCATGTCTGGGACCTTCAACCTCTGCTGCTTCCGCACTTGGTGGACGGTGTTGATTTTTGAGTTGAAAACCAAAAAGACATGCGCGACGCATTTCACCTGAATTCGCTAAGGGGTGTTGTTGAGTTCATATATGGTGGGGGTCCCTAGCCTCGGTAAGCCAGACTACTAAGTGGCGCTCGCATCTCATATGTTGCTTGCTGGTGTTTAGAAGAATGGTCTCCCATATAACCTCTTCGAAAAACACCTGCATAAACCTCCCATCTTCTCCCATGCATAAACCTCTTCGAAAACAAGCGTGCTTGGGAACGACCTGGGCCTGCGACACCTCAAAGACCCTGCAAAGGATGATCCTCTTCTTCTGTGACAAGGAGCGCAACTTGCCCAGTGCCAAATGCCATGGCATGACTTGAAGTCTTGCGCGCGTCCCACACGTAGCCTCATAGAAACCGATGCGACGCGTCCCTGCATAGGAACCATCATTCATTCGTTCCGCGGATTCCTCCAACCAAAGCATCTCTTCATTTGAGAGTGACTGATTTCCATGTGCAGCCTAAAGTGAGACTGCGAAACAACAGGTTCCCCTTCCATATTAGAATCTATTCTACACGTCGGATTGTTCCTTCTTGTTCCTTCGTTGGTTCGCTCGGGAGAGCCTGGCACCTGAGCACCTTCTGGCCGTGGTCGAAGTGGCAACTTCGACACCTGGCCAAGCGATCGACCCAAACCACAATCGACCCAAACTCCCCAGCTGGTCAGGCGAACTGTGGCATGGACATGCGCAAAATGATGTGCCTTCTCCCAGCCGGATCAACGACCCCAAACTCAAGTCTGTTTCAAGATCATTTTGTACGGATGTGCCTTGTTTGAATTTATTGGGCAATTACACTGCCAATACGTGGCTCACTGGAATGTACCCGCCCGACCGGACTGTCTGAGTACCGCTTTGAGCTCATCCGACGCGTCCTGTTCTTCGACAAACGCGACCGACGAAAAGGAAAAACACCTCTGCAGGAGCACGCACTTCGGCAGCAGGAACTCTGATGCTTTGTCCCATGGCGCAAGCATGGCGAAAGGGCAAAAGAGGCTGCGGAGGCTTACCGAAGCACGATCTTTTGGATGTCGGTGGCGCTCCGATCTGCATGTTTCAGCTGCAATCAGCTGCATACCATGCAAACGTATATAGACCAAATGTGAGAGTATCGTACATATACAACCCAACGGTGACGATGCTCAAATATGGATAAATACCCAGGAGACAAGCATGTCGATTCAATTTGCTCTGCTGAGGCATGATCGGGGTGCTTGCCAGTGCTTGCCACCGAGTCTTGATTTGTGTAAACACGTCTTAAGCCAATCAGTCTGGGCTTCCGAAACGTCGTCTCTAGCTCCGACAAAGGAAGGGGAAAAGCATGAAAAGCCGGGAGGCCTTCCCTTGCTACCAGGAACCATCCCACTTGGACTTTTCAGGTCGGTTTTCACTTCATGGTGCCCACCCATCATCCGGCATCCGCACCTTTCTGACCTTGGGCCCCCACAGCACACGGCCACTGTGCAGCGTGAAAAACACCTGACAGATTTGCTGAGACCCTTGTCCCATCACTCATTGAAACGCTCGGGCAGGACCAGCGCCTTCTGGTTCACAGGGTGCCAGGCCACTTCCTGGAACGTCGCACGACCCACCATCAGCACCGGTCCACCACTCAAACACTGCTATGCCGCAAAGACCCGCACAGGCAAAGTAACCCGAAGCAGTGGAATCGCAGTGCGGTCTCAGTACCAACCTAGTGTGCCAGTCAAATTTGGAGAACTTTCAATGTGGCGAAATGGTTTATATAAACATCCATTTTTGCAGCGCTGTTCCATGGGTTGGCTAGCTGCTAGCCCAGTGCTGCTATTAAGCACCAGCACATCTTCTTTCCGGAGCATTGACTTTACCGCGGCATGTGGCCGTGAAACCGAAGGGGTATGCGCTTGGAGTGTGTCCAAAGCACATGACTGTTCCAATACTTTTCATGGGGCATGGGCTATATTCATTGTATTTGCCCTTGTTCACCTCTAGAAAGAGGTGCCATGTTGCTATTTCAAGGCCTTACAAGCTGTGCTTCTCAAGGATTCCTCCAACGGAGTTGGTTCTCTTGGCAAGTTCTGTGATCATGTCAGTTGAAAACCCTTACCCAGATGGACAAACTTGTTCCGCATGAGACGAAGCATGGCGTGCGGACCAATGCAAGCAGGCAATGGATCCCCATGTTTTGCAGGCAAAACAAAAGGCAACTGGAGAAAACATGCTTTGAATATAATTGAATCATCTTCCCTGTTTCTCTTCTTCCATCCAAAAAAATCACCCCGCAAAGAGAGACCGCCCAGCTTCGCCCCTGGACCTTCCGAAAGCACCGTCGGGCGGACACCGCCTGCGGGACATCCTCGCTGAAGCGCAGGAGGAACATGACCGAGGCGCCGGAGGCTTCGAGCCTGGGAGAAGAGGCGGCACGAAACGCGGAGGGTGTGGACTCGTCCGTTGGGTTTTCCGTTGTTTTTTTTGGGTACCCTTTTTTGCGGTGTATGTGGTGTGACAGAACTCGATGGTTGACATTTCACACAGACCTAGCAACACTACAAAGAAATACTGGCAGTGTTCTAGTAGGTGTTTTTGAATATTTTAAGTGAACTGTTGCTATTCATCTCTTACTGTTTTAGTAAGTGCTTTTGGTGAACAGTAACTGTTCATCCCTGAAAGATGGATTTCGCTCAGCCCCGCGCCGGTGCAGGGACACTTCACCCTCCTGTGTCACCTGAGGCTCCACTAAGAGACAGCGGTGGTGGTCTCACGGATAGCAAACGCTGTCAACCGATGAGAAAAACAAGAAAGGCGAAAACAACAAAGGCAAAGTTCTGTATCAAACATCCTCCTGGAAGTTTGACTTTCAATGCCTCATGCAATAGCGACTGGTGAGGTTCCGAATGTGGCGACTGGTGCGTGGGCTTCAATCGTGCTGATTTGTGCTGACGATCCAACCCGCATGATGCACATGGCCCTCAATCAAAACTGTGTCCCCCCCTCCACCCCCCCCCACCAGCAGGAGTTTGCGATCGGAGGGTTTCAACGCACAAGCACGGATGCGGGAAGCAGCTTGGACCTGGCCGGGCTGAGGCGGGTGGCCAGAAATTCAGATTTTCGCAAACCATCCATGAAATTCCCACAGTTCACCAAACTCTACCAGGTAGCCCACCGTGCCAGGGCCCAGCATGTCAGTGTCACAAAGCATTGCAGATGCGATGAGATGCGAGCATTGGTGTTGGGACCTGTTCTCAGGTCCCAAAAACTATCATCGGTCCTCCGAACCGTGCCGTCGTGCCGGTACTTCACCCGAACCTCACACCGCATCGAAGAGGAATTGGAGATCACGTCGACGCGGGTGCCTTCCAGCGCACAACGGCGGTGCGGCACCGCGGTTCGGCGCGCTGCGCGAAGGAAAGAGCGCTTTTGGCTCGTTGAGGTCCTATGGGGTCTGGCGGGCTTTTTGATGCTCTGAAAAGGGTCAAATCACTCTTCTCTTCCAAGAGAAATCGCGGACTTCCGTACCTGTGGAATCCAGCAAGCACGAGAACTGCTCATTGGAGGCGACCACCAATCCCTGGCAAAATGCACACCGCACAGAAACCGTCATGGGCAAAAAACATGCAAAAACCAGTTGTGAGGTGTTGTGAATGGATAGAATGGCCAATCCAGCTGTCCTTTGAAGTTCTTGCACTGCTTGTGCATGCTCGTGCCTTCACAGCCGGTTTCCCAGCACCTGATCATGCCACGGGGCAAATGGAGCCGACCATGCTGCGGCTCTACAAAAAAAACAAATCATCATGAGAAATCGAGAAAGGTGAAAAAAAGTAACAAGAAAGAACAAGACCATCCAAGAACAGAAAATGGAGAACACCAGGAAGACGTCTTTGGTCCGTGTTTGTCACCTGATCAAAATTCAGAAGTCATCCAACCCCTGCAGGTCGTTCAAGGCTCTCAATTCGGGCGCGCCCGTTGGAACGCGTGCCGCACGATTCCGCTTCGGGCGCACCCGTTGGACCCCCGCCTCGCGCCAGCTGAAGCTCTAAGGGGTGCAGCTCCACATCCCGGCCACGGGGGATCTGCAAAAAGCGTCCGTCCTGATCGTTGAATCGTTGAAATTCGAGAAAATTAAATCCTTCAGGATTGCTAAAAACCCTCAAGCAAACAAAGTGTGAAGTTGTGCTAGATTCGAGGTGAAAAGGAGCAGCTAGATACTGCGAGCCCACTACAAGTAGCCGCGCACGCTGTCTTGCTCTGCGACTTCTGTAACCTTTTCATGGCCCTCGAACCCACCTGCCGCGCCACTTCCCGGGGCGGCGAAGGGAGCCCCGGAGGACGACCTGAGAAGGTCAAAACGGCCAGAAGGTTCCGTGGATTCCGTGGTTCACGCGCCTCCAAAGGACTACCTTCGATTTTGTAGCCATGAAGACTTCGCGGCCTTTTTTCTTCTGGAACTTCTGCTTGACTGCTTGAGGAAGCGACTGCACACTCAGGATCCCATAAGCCAAGCCACTCGGATTGGCGGATGGCGTGGCCGGTGCCTCCGCGGTCGGCTCCGCAGCTTCTTCGGCACCCGGTTCCGGGGGATCTTCGTGGACCTGGGCGGACCCTGGGCGTCCGAGGTTGAAGGCAGCTTTGGCAAGTACCAGTACATACCACCATTGACACTGAACTGCGATGACTGATCGGCAAAGACCTGGTTCAAACCCAAAGTGAGAGTCCATTCATTCTCCTCCGAAGGCATGCTTTCCAAGCATCCCACCATTCGAGGAGACCCCTGCACCTCCAGATCAGCCACAAACGACGGGATGGGGTCATCCGGTTTCAAACCTGCGCGCAGAGCGGAGTATTGGTAAAGAGTACTTTCACCAAAAACACCTGCGACCAGAAGGGGCTTACTGAAGAACCACTCGCGGTCCATGAGCAATTACTTGGGCCTCGTGCATTGGAATCATCGTGTGCCGAATATTTTGCAGTTGACATTCAAAGGACTTTGCAAGCACTTGAAGGTCGAAGTGCTTGTCGTTGACCTTACGTTTTCTGTCGAACTGAGTGACTATGTGAATTTAACCTTCTGTCGCCTCCCTTTCAAACCTGGCTGGCCGCATCTGGCCTGGAGGCATCTCAGGGAGGACTGCCTCATTCGCTGGATCAGTGCCGACCTGCAGTGCCAGCAGCCGAACAGCCAAGGGTTGAGCGACCCGCGAGGGACCTCAGGCGACCCTCCACATGGACCGGAAGGTTCCTTTTGAGACCCGGAGATGGCCGGTGGCGCATGACCCGAAAACAAGCCGAACAGGTGAAGAGTTAAAATCGACCTGGGCAGTCAAGTTGAAGGAGACGCTTGACGTGTCTCACCCAAAAGGCCTGCTTTTCCAAAGGCCGAATTCAGCTTTGTCTCGGCTTCGAAGACCAGGCCTCCTTCTCCTCCAATTCGTCGAAGTCGAACATGTCGCGTCCGTCCAGCGTCCAGGGCCGGCCTGTCCCAGGGCCTGTCATGGGACTGATGGATCGATCGGAAACCAAATCACGTCAAATCATCAGCATTCATCGGTATGCATTCATTAGCATAGATCAGTGTACCATAGTACAGTATACCATAGTACAGTATCAGTGTATAGTATTCCATAGTACAGTAACCAGATCAGTGTAGCATGGTACAGTAATGTACAGTAGATCAGTGGCAGGTGACTCATCAGGAACTGGAGTCTCATCCGGTGACTCGTTTGCGCCCCGCCGTTTGCGCGCCTAGCGGGCCTAGCGGCTGAGCAGCTGTGGCCAGCGCATGGTCCGTAGTTCCAACGCTCAAATCAATGGTGAAAGCTGCTTTGGGATGGTGCTCATCGTGACATACAAATACCTTACATAACACCGACCTAAAATTAACATGGCTGGACTTATAGCTCTTGCAACATGAGTGCTAGTCCCTTCTCCATGAACTTGTAAATCTCCAGCGCTACACATCGTAGCACGGAGCACCAGGCCGCATTGCCTGCTAAAGACTCAATGTCTTTCTTCCATACCCATTTCGGGGTGTGTCAATTGTAACTACAGCAACTGGCACGGCAACCAGATTGCTCCTCAAGAGTTCACACTGCTATGGTGGTTTGTGCGCCTGCTGCTGATGGTGCTCCGTTGTATCTTGGGTTTCGAGTTCCGATCGTCCTCTTGGCGGACTTCTACTTGAAGCTGATTGAGCAGCTCGTGGCCAATCGCAAGGGCTCCCGCTCCATGCGAACGGATATCGGTCAATGAAAGAGTGGACCAGTGGACCAGCTCTACGGCGCAGCGAAGCTGCTTGAGGGAAGTCTGTCTGAGCTGTCCAGGAGTGAACAAGGAATCCTGCTTGGGGCTGGGATGTTGTGTGGAACATCAAAACGGAGTCAGCTGTCATCAGCTGTCATGCCTTCTGCAAAGGGTAACGCTCTGATCCTTTTTCTGTGCGCTTCAAAACGATTTCCAAGAGATGCATGGCTGCACAGCTTCCTTTACCATCTCCCAGCGAACCACAATTCTTTGTTGCTGATTACAAAAACAGCATGATATCAACCGCCTATCAACAGCATCTTGCACCCAAAGTTGCCTCCACATTGAGCGACAGTATCTTCCAAAGTTGGAAACAAAACAACCCGACGTTCCTTTCATCATGTACACATACAAATCAGAACGAGATCACACCACGAAACACCAAATATACACATCGTTTCATAACGATCACGGTCTCGACTGCAAAGGGAAGTTGTACAGCAGCTATCTGAAGCAGTCCCATTCGGGAGAGCTGAGTCGTGCTCACTTGTTAGGCCTTGCAACGCGGCGACTTCCCTGGGTGGGTTTTAGTCAATTGGGTGATATTGGGTGTAACTTAGGGGTATCTGCAGGTTTCGTTCGTCCTTCAGGTTGTGCGTGAGACTTGTTTTCCATGTCCGCCGCCCTTTTCACAGGAAGGGGCCCCTTTACTTGACCTCAGCCTTCGACCATGGCTGGAATCTGAGCCAACGGGCTCGTGGAAAAGACCGCTGTCCTACCGAGGACATCCATCGCTCGACCATTTGTTAGGGAAGCCCACTACGCCACCCGGCGCGCTCCTGCTACATTGGTAGCGGAGCGAAAGCTCCTGGACCTTTTCGACTTGAAGTTCATCGCTTTTGTCCTCTTTGGCGGTGTCTTCAAGCAGCGGTGTTCCTTGACTTCGCTGGTGGTCTATCAATTCCTTCGCTCTGGACCTCCGGTGTCTTGGCACTGCTGAGCTCTTTTTCCTAGCCTTTGGAGAAGGCGACCTTTTTGACTTTGACCTAGCAAGCCTTGGACCTTGCCAGACCTTTTTCCTTGACTTTGTCTTCGGCACCTTCCTGGTGGCATGGCGGAACAGAGGGACGGACCTGTCCCCACATGGGATGGACAAGCTCGTGGCTGGAGGCGCTACACAAAGAAGTGGCGTGGTATGTCTCATCAACTCCTGTGCGCAAGAGACGCTATGTTGCTTCTCGCCTCATCAGCCGACTTCAAGGACCTGCGCGCCTTTTGGCTATGTCATGGAACCGTGGCGAATTCGATGCCCCGGATGGAACTTTGACATTGCTCCGGAAGCTAGCAGGCTCGCCGCTTGTGCGGCGCACCCTACCAAACACGGCCGCGATCCTTCAGCAGTACCTGAGCTTTAGGCGACGGCCCAACCAAAGTATGGCCAACTTTCTCGTCCGAGAAACGTTAGGCTATCAGGAATTCTCCGAGGTCTTGACGAGGCTATGGGGGAAAAGAATGGCATCGACCAGAACGAGCTTGACTTCGGTTGAAGATCAATGGGACTGGTGGCATGACGATGATGGCAACGAAGTCGATTCGCCTGATGGCGGTGCGCCTTTGGATGACCCTCCTGGCGATGACGCTCCAGCTCCAACGACTACCACTACAAGCGCCTCGGCTGCAGCAGGTGGCAACTCTGGTTCAGCTCCTCCCCGAGCCGTGGTGGCTTCAGCGCTGGACCTCCTTCGCTTCGCGCAGTGTCGGTGCAAGCACCTTCCGTGGCCATGAACGAGCTCTCACCTACGGACAGCTTCATCATGGGAGTTCTTCGTGGCTGGAAACTCCAAGCCGCATGCTTGAATGCTGAGGAGACCCGTGACATCCTCAGCGCGACTCAGAACAAATTGGAATTTGAAGCCATCTCACAGGCTCTCCAGAATGTGTGGGACGAACAACTACTTGGCCAACGTCATCACCACTCATCGTTTCCTGACCGTGACCATGGCTATGTGAACTGGCAATCCTGGGAGGATGAACCTCATGACTCCTGGGATGGCGATGGTTGGTGGCCTGATGGTGGTGACCAGCAATGGCATGAACAATGGCCTGATGATGAGTGGGGCGAATGGCATGAAGAACCTATGGTGACTCCACCCTTGCGGCAGTGGACGAAGAGGATGAGTTGGCAGAAGCACAGCGCGCAACACAGCAGATGCGCAAGGACAGAGGCTTTGGGCAAGCTGGCCAAGGCCCAAAGTGTTTTCAATGTGGTGGACCACACTTTGTTCGAGATTGCCCTGACCGACGGCATCCACCCTACTCCATCGGCAAGGGCAAGGGAAAGTCTTCCTACATTTCCTACATGGCCGACTACACCGACCAGCAGCTCTTCTTCATGAAGGGGAAGGGCAAAAAGGGAAAGGGGAAATCCAAGCACGCCTCCATGGTTTCTCATGATAGTTTTTGGACCTCCAAGTCGAAGGGGAAGCAGCGTGGTAAGATGATTCTACCCCCTCGCCCGGCAGTGAATCCCTACACCATGCACTATGACCTCGGAGGTCTTGAGCTCTATGAGGATATGAACAACTTGTCCGCCACGATGCCAGAGGCATCGGCAGCGTCCACAGGAATGTTTGACTGTGGCTTCTGCAGCTCCGGATGTGGCCATTCGTGGACTCATCCAATCGATCCTTTCTCACGACAAGAACGCCCGCATTGACGCGCAGCCATGCATGCGGCCCTTTTTCAGGTTTGGGAACGGAAGATGGGGGCAGGCACTATATCGTGTCACAATTGGTTCAAGGGCCTCAGGTGAACTTCGTCAGTTTTCGATCCCCACCCCCATGAAGGGGGGGGACCTTTTTATTGTAACTTGCATTTTCCATAGGTTGGCCACCCAAAAATGTAACGTTACATTTTTGGGGTGTAGACCTTTTTATTGTAAGTTACATTTTTTGGCTGGCGTGTACCCAGGAAATGCACCAGAAGAACCAGTGAAGTTACATTTATCTAAGAAAATGTAAGTTACTATTTGGGATGTGTGGAAACGCATGCACAGACACAATGTGAGCTAAGCATGCGCTGAAAACTACTGCAAATAGCAGCAAATATCAGCAAATGACACTAAACACGTCTCTTTTCCTGCAGGCGCGACCCCGGTCCCTCCAAGCGTCTGCTAAAGCCATTGCTCTATGTTCTGAAGACCATCTCTGGTCACTCCATGGAACAGTTCCATGTCATTTCCCAATTAATGTCCTTATGTTTCCTTGACCTAAGTGACTTGCGCTAACAATTTCCTGACCCCCCCCCCTCAAACATAGTCATTCTTTTTTTTTGGGGGGGTAAGTTACATTTTGACCCCCCCCCGAAAATGTAAGTTACAATAAAAAGGTCCCCCCCCCATTTTGAGTGCCCAAGGGGGTGGTGATAGTTTTCGCTGTTTTCACTCCCCAATCCAGAAGAGATGAACCCCAAGAACGTTGTCCCGGTTTTGATCGGCATGGACCACATTGGTGCACATGGTTGTCAGATGTTGGTTGATTTTGCTAGTGGCTATGTCATTGATGGTGTAGACCCCAAACCCGAGATCTATCAACTGGACACCAATTCCAAGGGTCATTTTGTCTACGACATCGTTCACCACCTCACCAAGGGTCACACCAACTCCAAGGGTACGGCAGTTGTGCACATTTGTGAACAACATGAACAACAAGATCTTGCTTGTGGAGTTTTGCAATTTCGCCCTCTTGAGTTTTACAATGCACGTGTTTCAGTGGCAAGTCACGTGAACGAAGCCGGTCGTCGATCTCTTCTTTGGAAGCTCTATCAGCATGTGAAGTCTTCATCTACCTCTGCAGCTTCTCTGGCTCACATGAGCTCAACAGCTACAAGCCCCACTGACCCGGACGACATCTCCTTTCGTGCTCACCTGCGAGGCCATGTCGCGAAGCCCAATGGAGCATCAGACGACTCAAGCCGAGCAGGATATGGTGGACTTCATCAGGACTCTCCGGCCGCCTGCGGCCAAGAAGCCCTCGCAACCTCCGGACACCTCTCGAGCGATCCAGATGGATCCTCGCGATCCGAGGGCTCAAAACTGTTGGCCTTGCTACAACTACCACGTCCAAGGAACGTGGCAGAGCAACATGCGTGCACGGAACCTGGTCGCACTGCGAGATCTGCAATTTGCGCTTGGCCTACATCCCAAAGCAGGGCGCTCCAAGCAATTCGACCCAGGCACCCAACCACGTGATGATCAAGCGCATGTTGGACGAGCTGGAACCGTTGATGCAGGGCACGCGCCCGACAGCTCGAATCTGCAAGGCCATGATGGACAAGATCACCGCGGACACTCAGCTGGAGACCTTGGTTCAGCAGGCGATCAACACGCCTGTGAAGAAGACAGCGGTGAAATCCCGAAGTGCTCCAACATCGCATCAGGCGTCCCCTGTGAAGCAAGAGCCCACGGGATATCAGACTCCTCCGGCGATCCAGACGCCGCCCGTTCCGTCAAGTTCAGCGAGCTGGGAACTTCTGCAGACGGACACCAACGACCTGCAGAACCTC